CTCATCTTCAGGCTGGTCTTGGAGTCTTTTTAAAATTCTTCCTTATAAAACTTCAGCAAAAATAACTTCAGCTGTCTCCAAGAATGAGATTAAGGAAATTCACATTATTTGATCATTTTTTCCAGTGTGTTTGGTTGGGGTTTGGTGTTTGGGTTGGTTTTTTTTTTGCAAGCCTAGGAAATTGTACACAAAATTGACATTTAAAGAAGCCAAGGTCATAAGACCAAGAATTCAAGAGTTAGGAAACTGTATTACTACAGCTGCTTGCACCCTATTCTTTAATTTCCTTTATGTGCCAATAGCTCAGTTACCAGCTCAAGGTACAGTGTTTGCTAGGGCTCAGTGTCTCAGCCACCCCAATGACAATTATGTTTGTTGTAAGAACAAGCAAGGGCACTACAATGTAGAAAAATTCATTTCTACAGGAAATAAACTCAGTCAAAATCGAACGAATAAGGCAGCAAATGGCAAGAAAAGCAAAGCAGTCCTCGCTGAAGCAGCTGAACACTGCACTGGAGAAGAGGATTCATCTCTGCTGCTGCCTTGGACTGTTCAGGAGCTACCAAATAAATCATCAGACCCAGACTTTTCACCAGCAGTTACTGATGTCTCGCACCTCTCCTCCACACCCAGCACTGGAGGCTGGCAATGTAAGACAATGAGGTACTCAAAACTTGGATTTTCCACTGAAACTTGGAGTTTCGGTGGTTGCTGGACCTTAAATGTGGGTAACATCCTGTCACTTTGAGTCATCTCACAGTCCCAGACCAACCCAAAACCGGTTGCTGTGCTGGACATGGACCTCCCTGATCCTTGCTTCTTCACCTGTGAACCAGGACAACATTATTCTCTCTGTTTGCACAGGTACTGTAAAAATAATTGTGCAGACCCACAACCTCATGTGCATCTATAGCCAAGCAGAGGTCAGGGGAGGGCTTCGGTATTACAGCAGTGAGCACCATAGGAAAGCCCAGCAGTAATTCTTAATTCCATCTTCAAGCATGGTTTGAATACAGCTCAACAAACGAAGCAGTAAAGGACGACGGTAAGATAAAATATTGACTAGCTGCTCCATCATTGTCTGGTCTGTGCCCTAGATGGCACAAGTGTATTTTGGAAAAAGCAGAATGGAAACACCTAATAAAAGGCTGGAGCTTTAAGGATTTGAATTTTCAAAAATTTTTTTTAAAGATAATTTTAATGCAGTTGTATGCAACTTTATTTAAAGAGATAGTCACATACAGACATGCACATGTGGAAAGGTTATATAGGTACATTATTCTACAAACATACAGACTTCTATCTGTGTGTACCTTGACTTCCCTAAAACATAAACAGGCATCTGACACCTAAGGCAGCCCTTGATGAGAACTGCTCTCTCTCCTCCGTAGAGTACCACCAATAATTATTTACCATTAGTACTTAACAGCAAGAGATTCAGCTGGGATGTAGTAAACAAGAAAACTGTATAGATTGTTCAGTACAGCCTGGCTGGCTCTCAGCTGAGGTAAGAAGTGATTGGACCACACCTCCTGGGTATTTCAATCACAGTTTTTATCACCGGGGAAAAGCCCCTTATTAACCTGTACTTGCTCAGGTCCCTTTCATCTCCATATATGCAACGCTGTCAGGATCATACGAGTGCCCCTTCTAGTTCACTTTACCATGCTTTGAACCCTAAACTGCTGCGGGGTTAAACAACCAACAAGACTGAGACCTGCAGGGTTCATTTAGACTAATGGTATCTTGAACTCTGCTGTCTTCCTACCTGCCATAGATTTTGTTTTTTCAACAGAGTAAGGGCTGCCTTTCTCACGTCAGAAACATCCCACTGTGGCAAGAAGATGGTCCTAAAGGGCAATGCTGGTGATTCACATGCAAAATCGTCGCATGTGAGGGGGAAAAATAAAAAAAGGAAAAATCCTCCACGTGGATTATATCCTTACTTTACAAAAATCAAACAATCCAAGCAAAAGGGTCAAGTTAAAGCTGTGGTATGTTTACAGACGTGTGCCCTACCACTGATACATTTTCTGGCACTTCTCACATCATCAACCCATTCCTCTGACTCCTCCACCATCAATGGCAGTTGTGTGCATCAACGCGGGGAGCCTGAACACCAGTCAGACTGTATGTGAAAAGCACCATTTTTTTCCTTATGGCAGAGAACTGAAGTATGCAACTAGCACATACTGTAAAGGCATTCAAAATATGACAAAAAAAATTGTTCAAATGCTTTCAACCTGCAGAAAACAAATGCTCTCTTCACTGACTGCTCTGTGGCAAACTTCTAATTTCATCCAGAAAATCCAGCATTCCCAGTCTGGGCTAATGACCATGCTACCAGACATGAGTTTATGTTTTTCATGCACATTTCATGTATTCCCACATGCTGTGTTGCTGCCAATAATTTATGACTGATCTGCACCCAGCCTGCCCTTCAGCATTTTATTTAATCTCTGCAACAGTGATTTACAATGACTCATCATTAATACAAAAATGTACATGTGTGTTAACAAGTTTGGAGGAACCTAAGGAGGAAGGCAAAATTTTTTGCAAGTCGTGGCTGAATGACTTATGAGCCCGCTGAAGAAAGGCAAAGGTAACCAGAAACGATGCGTTAGCTCTTCTCTGCAGCAAGCCATAGAGGCAAGAAGAGTTTCTTCTCCCGCACACCGCCTCAGAAGAAAAGGAATGAGGAAAAGACTGGGAGAGTTTGTCGTGCCATGGCTGGGGTTTCCTGAGGATGCAGGTGTGTGCGTGTGCAACCTGCACACTCAGCCATGGCCTCACAGCCTCCTTGCTCCTCAGCATCCATTACAAAAAGCAGGGTCGGAATGACCGTATTTTGGCATCTCTGCCCACCGTCTGTGATTTAAGAAAGCCCTGACTGTCTCTATAGTGTTAAATCTTCATGCGTCTGGGGAGACAAGGGGACTTGTCTCAATAATTTATACAATTGTAACACTACAACAGAATTACCAAACTAGCTGGAGCAGCGGAAGCCTGCCCTACATCCATGAGACTCCAGTTATAATGTATTTTGACCTACTTTTTTTTTTTTTCCCCATTGCACATAAGGAAGTCATAAAAACACATCTGACACAAAGGCAAAGTAAAAACTCCTCAAATCTGAGGCAAGATGGGTACTCAAAAACACCCTGGAAATTCACTCAGAGAAATTTCACCCGCTTTGGTTCAAAGCATCCCACGTTCATCGTCTCGAAAAATTTCTTTGATGGCCCATCCTAAACTGACATAGCTGCCCATGCTGAATCCTATGCTCCCGGACCCCTCCAAAGCAGCACACACTCGCTCCACCCATCGTCAAAGAAGCTCCCTGACGAACATACACAGCTTCTCAACTGGCCAAAGTGCCTACTAATGTTAAACTGAAGCTCAGCCATATAAATTAGGGTGTCGCCTGGATGAAGGTTGGAGGACGTAAAGCTGAAGCAAACACTAATTGTTTCTGGCTGAGCCAAAATACCGCAAGTTATTTCCTTGTAACATGGATTTTACATCTAGTGGCTTTTATTCCTCCGTTTTAAGGTAAGTATCTTGGAAGTATACTTCACGTATACTAAGTATTTGGCATTTTCCTTTATTCAGTGTCTTAAAGGGCTTCAAAAAATTGATCTCCCAGGGCTGCTGTGGGGTCACAGAAATTGATAACCCTTACAAGCTATGCTTATGTGAGCCTGCCTGCATCTCCCAGATAGTGCACTTTGTAAATTAATCCTCCAAAGGCAAATATATTGTAAGTAGCTTGTTATCTCTAAAGTACTAAATTGAAGAATACATGGGATTATATTGACAGAAATTACATTTTCTGTAATGGGGTTTAATATATCTGAAATCTCTCCCATAGGCTCCTGCTTTCTCTAAGAGAGGAGGGTTTGTTAATGTAGGTGCAATGGACATCAAGACCAAATTTATTCACTAAAATGGATTAGGCCATGTAATCAGAGCTTCAGTAATATTAATCTCTGACACTTATTGAACAGAAAAAAAATACTTTTGTCTGTAAACTGGCATTCCTCCCTCCCTTTTCCCCAGCAGGCTTGCTGTTCGCCTTGGCCATTTTCTGGGTATTACTTCAAAGAGGATAAGGTTTCCCATCATAAACACTAATCTAAAAATATTAGGACAATTAATTAGATACACTTAGTTTTACAAGGTATTCGATTGCAACACACTTCAAATATGACACTTGTTCTGCGATAGTGGGAGAAACCTGCATTTGCATGCAGTAACAAAGGGTAATAAATAAAACTTTTTTTTTAAGGGTTTGCTGTTGTATTTTCATACTTAAATCACGAGTTTTTATCACTGGTTGCCTTCACCATGTCCCAGACATGGCAACCCAAAAGCCACTGCAGAAACAGCACGGATTCCGATTTCCTTCACACAAATCGCTACAAGAACAGATCAGGGGCTCCAGCAACAGTAGCTGGAATAAATAAAAACAATTGCTCTTCACCGTACTTCAGCAGCAAAAGGCCAGACTGTCCTCAAAGTTTATTCAAGCTCTCAAAAACTGGACTTTTAAAATAAACCAGTAAAGAGAGAGAAGGATGTCAGTCAAAAAGACAAACCCCACTAACAACATTCAAAAAATGATTAAAGCACCCCAAAATAACAATACACTCTGCAGAAATGGGGCCAATTGCCCCTTTTTTTCACCCAACATCTCAACCTCTTCCAAGACAAAAGTTCACAAAATGGATGTGGCTTCCTACTGAGCCAGTGGGAGGACTGGTACCCAAATGCGAATACACTGAAATCTGACCAAGCGACAGGAAAATAAATACGGCTTGTTTTCTTCGGTAGCAAACCTCCCAGTTCCCATAACTGAAACCACTCATTCGGCTATATCACTTTTGCATTGATAAACTGCTGGGGGGGAGCAGACAAGGGCACGGTGTGTCCTCAAAAATGCAAAGCGTTAGCCGGAGGGTGCCAGCAGCCATATAGAAACACTAAGGAAAATTACTTACCAATTGTTCACTTGAAGTATAGTGAGCCCTGTGTCTTGTGCCAACTGCTTTTTCTGTTCTTCTGAAGGGTAAGGGTGCTATAAGACACCAAAATAAATATATACATTTAAAACAATGCTTTTTTTGCCTACTTTTAATTTTAAATTTCTTAAAAAACTAGAAGCGTGACTTCTATTATTGAAAGGTGAAAATGCTGAGGTGTGTCACTCTTTTATAATTATTAATGGGCTACTACATCACTTAATTAATGGCAGTAAAAGACAAGCCAATTATAAAGATTAGTGAAGTGGAGAAATAACTGCTTAGGATACTGGCAGTACCTTGATACTCAAGAAGGATATTTGTTGCATTAGCTGAAAGTTTTTGCACTTGTCTCAAATGACTGATTAGAGTCAAATCCCCTTTTTTTTTTTTTCTGTATTTCACAGAACAATACAGAATGTGATAAAGCTCTTCTCTGTAAAACTAAAACATGCTGATGTTTTCTGACATAGTGAAGACAAATCTTGCCAGCGCCCCAAAATAATTTGCAAATAAGATCAGCAACCTGAACATAAACAAACGCCTGGGTTTTGAACACAGGCCAACGCAAGGTCAACGATCAGCACATTTTTGCCTGACATTAACATAGCTGTGCTGCACTAATCCTAAGAGACAGAAAATAAATACTGGTTTAACTGAAGATAATGTTAAAATTCAATCATAAGTTAAGTTTCTTGTGAGAACTTGATTGCTTTCTCAGAAAATTTACTTCTGCATGAATACAGATTGCTTAATAAATCAACAGCAAAAACCACATCCAAGTTTGAAATTTAGAAATATCATTTCTGCCCTTTCCCCCATGTAAAAATGTCACCGTCCCACAAGGAAATGGACAAATATCACAAATGTAACTATCGCCAGGAAAAACCCTGTTCTGAGGATCCAGCTTGGCTCCTAACCTTGACACCCAAGTCTCAGTACACATCAGATTCAGACCTGGTCTGCTGCAAGGACCTTAATAACACTTCATTAAGATGATTTGATAAAATTGGTTAAACCTACCCCAACATCCCATTTAACAGTTGGTTTTCACAAAGTATTTGCTATTATACACACATCCTTCCCCCCAACGCTCCCATATTCTTTGGATGTATTCTTTGGCATAATATTACACGAGATGTAAACTGAAACCTTGTAAAGCGTAAGAATTTAAAACCTCATAAAATTATGCAATCTTATTGGTATTGTAACTATTTAGCAGATTTTATATATTCTTGTAAACAGCATAATCTGTCATCTGATGGCTACGCTAAATGCCTGCATCACCTCACTTTACCAAACAGTAATTTTTCTTATAATTCCGGCAACGTCCCATTGCCCAGTGTGCCCATTTCAAAGCCCACTGCCATGGCCATCAGCTCCAAAAGATACATTTTTTTTCACCCAGAAATGTGGAGGATTTCCCATTCTTTTAAAAATACCATTTTCTTGACAGTCAGCCAACAGATAACCTGCACACCTGTAAACTACCCCCTGTATTTTCTACATGTATGTGAAACAGGTCCAGAATTGCAAAGTGGAAGACACAGGGAAGGGGATTTTACTCTTTTTTTAATGGTAAATTTGCATTTTACACATGCAAAAATATAGCATGAATTTTAGTCTGCCTTATATACACATTCCTCCACAACGAACAGTCGTACTTTTCTTACGTCCATCTATCTGAACATAACATTTTGCTTCTCTTCAAAAAAAAAACCTTCAGAGATGATTTGTAACATTTTCATCTTTATAGCTTACTTCCCATTTCATTACTTTGCTATCAAGCGAGGACAAAATTATTCTTTTTCTTCCTATTTCGCTTTGCCACCTTACATGTGATCTAATTTTAAGTAATTGAACAAACTGTGTCTAATTTCATGCAGCAAGCAATAATTACTAGACAGCCTCTAGCTATTGGAATTAAGAACTCTGTCTCCATTAAGCAATTTTCAATTGTTCTGGACTTTTTTCCAAATAGACAAGACTGGATAAAATTAGCCATCAGAATAATACAGTCACTGTAAAAATAATTGCTTTAAAAGTCCCAAACCCCAAATTCCTCAAATTGTTGTATGTTTAAGGTCATCTGATTTTTTTTTTCATAGCCTAGCACAGCATAAACTGTTAATTTAATGATAAATCTGTAACTGCCACAATCACATGACAGCCTGGGACTTCACGTAGCTAATCCCTCTTAGCTAAAGGTTTGCAATGCAGCAGCCTTTTTAACTATGATTTGGTGTGGTTTAAAATAATCTTAAACACTGGGCATCCTTATTATATAAGCTTTCTGTGGATCATACGAGTTGTTCCTTTGTAGGCTAAAAAAAAAATAATAAAAATGACTTGACAAAGAATCGGCATGCCACAGGCTAGGTTGCTATAAAAACATTCAAAGCCTTGTTCCACTCCCACCCACAGGGCTAGGAAGGCCTGTGCTACAGGCAAAGGCAGACATCACATCGCAACAGGGAGAAAGGGGGAAACCCGGAGAACTGCCATTTTATGAAGAAATAGGAAATTCAGCCGAAACTGTTGCTGCTGGTCTTTATTTCACCCGTGTAAGAACGACAGGTGCCTTCCAAAAGCTTTTTAATGGTTGTTTAAAGGGATAAAGACAGATGCACAGATGTATGTGTCTACATATTTGCATATATATGTACATATATTTGCGTGTATATGTATAATATATATAAAAATATACATATACACCTTAGTCAAATGGTTTAGCTTTAGGTAGTCCTGTGAGGAGCAGGGAGTTGGTCTTGATAATCCTTACGGGTCCCTTACAACTTGAGATACTCTATGATTGTATGGAATACATAGATGTATAAATACATAGATACATAAATATACATGGAAGTGTGTGTCTGAAACCACCGCGCTGACTCCAAGTTGGTAAGTCCACCTATCACTCCAGATCACTTTGGGATATCAAAGCAAATTGTACCACTGTTCAATAAACACTGACTCGAGACCTTTACTTTCTTGTGTACATTAGCGCCTACCATTATCTCTTAAAAGCTTAATTATTTGCAAACAATTGATCAAGATGGGAATTGGAGAAAAGAGATGCCGGACCACCGGGAGAGCTGCAATGCATTAGGAGAGCAAACAGAATTACCTCTAGGTCTTATAATCAGAATTAACGATTGGGAGCGTATGCAGGGCAGCATGAGAAGCTGTAACACTCTTGCTGGAGTGTTTTCCATTTGATCTGCATTAACACCTCGAGTGAAAGCCATAAAACGGTGATTACAGATGGGAAGGCTGACCCTCCTTCCCAGAACCAGCCCAGCTTGCGTATACTGGAAGACTGCAGACAGGCTTTCTTGCCAAGGCCACAGGAAAAGGGCAAATCCAAGGGGGGAAAAAAAGTAGGAAGCAGGCAGGGGAAAAGGAAAAAAAAAAAAAAAAGTATTTGAAAAGAGTAAGGCTGACAACAGATGACGACTCTGAATTTGACTCCAGTATTTTCTGATCATGCTTGCTGCTGCTACAGCACTACAGAGCAGCATCCACCGAACGGTATGAGACCTAGAGCTTTTCCTTTCCCATAAATCTAGCGCTGAAATGCGGATTGTTTGGCACCATTAATGTGTTTTTGAGGCTCTGTGGTATTACTTTTAATAATGATTTAGTACAGAAAGTGATTGCTTAATAACACCATCAAAGTCTGCATGCAAATGAAAATTATCCCTGGGGGATTTGCCCAGGGTAATATGAACAGTTAAGGAACATTTGAAAAGGTAAAAATAACTATGCAAAATATGAGTCAGAGCAGTCGTTTTAGCAGTAACAAAGAAATCAAAGTGACAGAGAGAAAAATGAAACTTTCTATCATATTCCCTCATCACTGTTTTATGAATGGTATTTAGAGAGCAGCAGTCTTAATAAAAGTCCCTTTTTAATGCAGACGAAATAATTTTTAGCAAAACAAACAATAAGACTCTTTTTTTTTTTTTTACCACCTTTGACTGCAGCCATGGTAAAGTCTCCAGTAGATACAGATGGAAAGCGTCCAAGCTAGTCTCTTCATGATAGCCCTTGTCCAAATGTACTCCTTTCCTCAAATTTTCCACCCCGTGCTGCAAATGCTGGATGCCAGGACGGCGACAGACTTTATCTTATCTGTAACCTGGTATTAATAACACTCTGCCCCTCCCCGCCTTGCCCATTGTAGCAGGGCATCATAATGGTTGCAAAAAAAAAAAAAGAAAATAATCCTGCCCAGAGTTTACTGCTGAGATAATGGGAGGCAAAACCACCCCTTCTCACCCCTCAGATTCCTAATGGCACCAAACCGTCCTGACACCAACAGTGCCAACCAGCCCTACCACAGCACAGAGGCAGAAGCAATTCCCAAGCAAAAGGTTGCACGTTACGTTAGAAGGAGGTCGTGGCAACCGTCCAGTGCGGCCCTTATCGCGGCAGCGCCGCCACTTGCTGACCGCACTGGGGGAACCATTTCGGAAGTCCTTTTATCCCCTTCCTCCAGCCCTCTGCCTCCTCCAGAGCCTCATAACACACCAAGGTGAGATGACCTTGAGCTAAACTCTGGCAGGTCATGCATAGAAACTACGCCCCCCCCAAAATGTATGCTCTCAGGAGCGTCTATTAACTGTTTTCTAACCTCAAAACACAAAAAAACAAACAACCCCAACACCATGATTTTCTTGTTTCTGAAGAGCAACCCAGCCTACACCTAACTCCGTAACCAGAATAAAGCCCCAGGTTCAGCCTTCCAGTGATAAACTGCACATTGGTTTTATGCTGACCTCTGAATCCTTGCTTTACCCAAACTTCCCCAGGGTTAGCTCAGGCAGCGGCACAACCATTTGGGTCTCTCCCCTTCCCCTACCTCCTCCTGGTTTGCATTTGAACTATTTACATTAGTGATCAAGTTGATCTATGAGAAATTATTATTATTTTTTGAATATGTATAATGCTTTCCTATTGTCTCTCAGCTTTATGAATTAGTTTTACTGTTGCAGTGAATGGTTTTTTTGTCTCCCGACTGCACATTATCAAAGGGACACTTTGTGCCTGCCAT